TTTCACATATTATGTTGACAAAAAATTTCATATTTTTTACTTTACTTTACTTTACTCCGTTAGTGCATTGTCTTTTGGGGCACTATTTAAAACGATTGTAATATTTACGTATAATGTTCACATAGGTAGATACTATCATATAATATTAACTCTGTTTGCAAAGCTAAAAGAGGACCCATTATCTAAATATCCGATATTAAACTTTGGCCATTTGAAGTCCAATATTAGTTTTAGAGTAATTTAACACATCATTGCAATACTTCTAATGTGTTTCATACACAATGAATATTTTGTAAGGAGTAATTGAAATGGAATATTAAATTTTAAAATAGACGTTACCTCACACGTAGGTACTCACAATGGAGCTATTACAGTTCTTACGACGTATTAGCTACTGTTAAAAGGGAATACCTACAGCAACAATTCACAAAGTAGGTTCCGTGAATAAGTTACATTAGTTAATAGGTCGTGAGCATGTTTTTTTTATTTTAATTCAAATTACATTGTCTTTTATTTATTTTCATTTGGTGTGAGGTTCTATAAAATAATAGTTATTTATGTTATTAGGCCCAAAGGTCTTGTTGTGCTGAGCTCATAGTTTGTCCTTCTGGGCCGAATGACATACAACATACAAATGTTTTTCAAACGGATTTGTTCTTAAGTGTAGATGAAGATCATGATAAACTATATTTTTGGAGCAAAAAATACCATACTTTTACAAAATACAAGGTCTACATGTCTTTTAAGAGTAAATGTTTAAGAACTCATATAAGCGATTAAAAAAAAATCTATCAAAACTTAATTTTATTGAAAATTTTTAAGTAGAAACGATTTTGTACCTAAATTAAAAATGCACTAAAATTACTATAGCGCCATCACTCGACCGTTATCATCGTAACAAAATTACAACTTTTAATAATCAGCTGTCAAACGCTTATGTTACAAACGAATGTTTTTGAGAATAAAGTCGGAATATGTTAAAAAATATCGGGAAAAAAACTGTGGCACGATTGGTTGTGTTGTTGGGTGTATTTCGAGATGAAATCCTGGGTTGAGTTTTTACCGGTTTCCAATAAACAGTGTTAATCCGAATGAAGAAATAAATTTCATACAGTCCCTGTAAATATAAATTGTATCTATTAGATACAATAAATACACATTTTAGTAATGATTAACGTAAAAAGTGCAAACATTTCAATTCAGTAAAAATCGTCAAACAAATAAGTCTTCTAAATTCAAACAGCATTTAGCATTATTAAAGCTTTAATTAAGAAAGTATCCAATCAACGGTAGAATACCATTATATTATGTATTATATATAATATTATGTTTCCATAATTTCGTAGGTATATTTTGTTGTTTAAAATGCAGTTGTCGGCGTTTTTTAGAGGACTCGAATATAAAAATGTTCGATTTTAAGGTTACGTTTGTTCAACAATTAATTTTTTACTAATTTCTAAAAAATGTCCAAACTTAAATATAAATTATATAAGGTTTAGTTATCATTAGTATATTCTGCACCAACAAATGTACTTACCGAATTGGATCCTTTGGCAAAACATGAAAATGCAACGATTTAGTTGTTACAATTAAAAACACAATAATTTACCATGATTCCTTAGATTAAATACACACACTAACGTAACTATATAAGCATATAAGCGTCGAGTTTCTTAATCAATGAGATATGGAATAATCAATAGAAATCGAGTACTAAAAAAGTTTTTTAATTTTTTTATGCAACGTAAAACACAAATAACGTGCGCGATTTAGCTGTGCAATTGAACAAAATTTGTCGAGTAAGACTTCTGCCTTCCTCTACTTTGCAAAAAAACTACCTATTTATTTAAAAATGATGTATAATCGGTGCTTTAAATTAATTGTTGACAATTCTTAAATTCACGCAATGCAATCGAAGTCCAGATGGCGCGCGCGTTGCGAAAACCCGATACTTCTTTAGCGTATAGTCGAAGATAATTTTCATACTGAAACTACTGACAATAAAATGTCAAATAATGGTTGTTTTTTTCATAAAATACAGTATAATTTTAGTTTTTAGTATTTAAAATGCCGCCAACTTAAATATTATCTATTTGACTTATACCGATTACTCGAGTACATTCAAGATAAATTTAAGGCAAAATAATTTAATAAATAATTAAAATATTAACAAAAAAACTTACATTCTGATGTGATTGAGCAAAGCATTTTATTACGCAATTATTTTAAATCCTAGACGTACTACAGCAAAACGAGTGACATTTTTGAAATCAGAGGCCCAAAATTAGTTAAACCATTATAGTGTTTTTATTTTTATTTTTTTAATTAGGAGACAAATAATATGTGATACTCGTATTCTTGCCACGATCGTGTCAAACGAATGCTCCTTTATTATCAATGCACAAATTACTATAATTAAATGTTCCGTGACCTTAAAAGTTTAGGAACCGCTGACCTACACCATATTATGGTTCTTTAACCTTTTATAAATTTAACGTATTTCCTATTTTTTAGTAGTCTATTTAAGGTAAGTATTAAATTAATTAATTCATAATTACATATTCCATAAGATTTATGTTGTTTTTTCAAATAACAATAAAATTTACACAAAAAGATTGTATCTACAGGGTGAAACATACCCCCATTTTTTAGAAATGCTTTTTTTATGCATACAAATTACATCATCTAAGTGCCCCTGATATAATTATGAAATCTTAAACTTGGCCTCGTTGATCTCCAGACCGCAGTGTGTGCTTTTATCTATCATTGGATAACATAATTATTGCTACGTAAAGCAAATGGTACTGCTTTTTAAATTTTCGTTTAATTTTACCGAGATCACTCTGAATTTGCAATGTTTAGTCTTCTAAATCTAGAATGAAAATATCAATTAGTATGAGCAATAGGGTGATTCAATTCCGCAAAAAACTTTTTTTTTCTCGGCGCTCAAGCAAAATATTAATCTACCTAAAGAAAAAAAAAATTTCACCAAGGTAGAGCTCTTAATATCAATTTTAAGTACTTGCAGTTTAAATTTAAAGTTTTCCCATTTAAAATGCATGTAAAAAAATGTTTTCACAATATTGTGAATCGGTTTTATGGACCTTATAGGGAATTTCACGCTCTTCAAAATTGCCTTTGTGTTTTTTTGTGTAACTCCTAGTGGTTCGCCAGTAGGAGTCATCAAAGTTCAATTTTTTGAATGAACATTTTTTTTTGTATTTTTTTTTAACAATTCGTAAAAAATAGTAAAAAAAAGAGCTGAATCGTAAAAAATAGTCTTTTAACAAATATTTAATGAATTTACGGCCATTTTTATATCTTAAAACGTAAGTAATTGATAAATATTAATGCTATTTAAATTAAACTTTCTTATTTACTATGGATATAATTCTCTACAACAATAACTTTTCCAGAGTTATTATGATTTTTGACTTATAATAAATATAAAAAAACACAATAATTTATAAAAAAAAAACAACAAATATACAATTGCAACTTAGATTCTGCAATTTTTCAACATTTCCGTAATATAGCAATAAATATAAATGAAGGTTATTAAATTTTTTTAACAAAATTCTTAAATTAACGAAAAAGTAAATTGTTTTTATTGTCAACTTCATTTGCTTCAATATTGTATAAGTATACTTCTATAGAAATTGCTATTTGAATAATTGCACTAAATAATATTTTGATGGCATATTCGAACAGAAGTAAAAAAATAATGATAATTATTTGATTGAGAAAGCAACTGTTACAATTTTATGGTTGCTCTAGTTATTAATTAGTATGACGTTAGCGATTCTATTGTCTTTGTAAACGGGTTTGATCACAGACCTGTAGGTCTGTGGTTTGATGCTTTATGTTATACTTAACCCCAAAATGTATTGTTTGTTGTATTTAGTGATTAGTCCGAGAACAAAGTACGAAGTGACTAGGTGCACGTTAGAGTGCCTGCAATTTATTTTTTACGGGCACGCTAGTGACGTAATGGATAAAAAACGTCATCACTACCGTGCCGCTTAATTTAAAATTGGCGGCACAACAATAATATAATAATAAATTGTACCTGTATACATGTAAAGGGCACGTTAGTTACGTCATAAAATAAAATCTTAATTTGCTTTGTATAAAAGTCGAAATAATTTAATATTTATCAACTTGTTTATTTATGACTATTGAGATTTTTATTAAATTTGCAATATATTATCTAATAATGTAATCTGTTATTTGTTTTGATTAAAGTTTTGTTGTTTTTTTATGAATTGATGTGTTATGTTTATATTTATTTTTAGTCAGAAATCATAATAACTCTGAAAAAGTTATTGTTGTAGAGAATTATATCGATAGTAAATAAGAAAGTTTAATTTAAATAGCATAATTGGTTAATATTTATCAATTACTTACGTTTTAAGATAAAAAAATGGCCGTAAATTCATCAAATATTTGTTAAAAGACTATTTTTTACGATTCAGCTCTTTTTTTTCACTATTTTTTGCGAATTGTTAAAAAAAAATATTCATTCAAAAAATTGAACTTTGATGACTCCTACTGGCGAACCACTACGAGTTACACAAAAAATCACAAAGACAATTTTGAAGAGCGTGAAATTCCCTATAAGGTGCATAAAACCGATTCACAATATTGTAAAAAGCGGGCGAGCATTATAGAAATTTGAAAAAAAAAACATTTTTTTACATGCATTTTAAATGGGAAAACTTTAAATTTAAACTGCAAGTACTTAAAATTGATATTAAGAGCTCTACCTTGGTGAAATTTTTTTTTTCTTTAGGTAGATTAATATTTTGCTTGAGCACCGAAAAAAAAAACTTTGCGGAAATAAATCACCCTAATGAGCAATCTATTTTTAATTTAATTAAAGTTTATGTTAAATATGTACAAAGTTTGCAAATGTTCCTGTGGAGTCCTGGTCGTTTAAGTTAAGTCATCGTACAGTAGCATCACCCACAAAAAAATGAGCCTCATCCTCATCCGCCTAGGTGACCGTTCGTTCGAGCCCCCTACTACCCGAAACTGTACAATTTTGTCGCCAGTGCCACAAAACTTGCCTTACGAACGGAAGCGTTAAGAACTCTGAGCACCACGTTCAGGATGTCCACCACCAGAAGTCAGCTGAAGACGACGACGCCGACGACTGGCAGCCGCTGCTTCTTCTGGGGTTGTGTCCAGCTGCGGCCAGCTTCTGCAAGGTCGACCCCTTTTCAGCGCCCGTCCCCAGGATTTCCGTTTTACCCGCCACTCCAGAGAGCTCCGTTAATACTACGTCGTCCGATAGGTTAAGGGAGGAGCAACAATGCAAGTGCCAAACTCAAACTACTAAACCTCAGGTAAATAGTGTTTAAAACTGGTGTATTTTAATACCAAATTCAAATTCAACGCACGTTGATACATTTGGCGTTTTCATCTTAAATAACACTAGGCAACAAATTTTAACTTAAAAAAAAAGGTCCTGGTTAAAAATAGAATTTTTCGATTGTTTATGACTGAAATAGATCCAAAATGAAGTCGTAAATAAAAAATAGGAGCACAGTATTTTGGTACCATTTATTGCATAGATACACCATTTGAAAATTTTAGGATGACGCGTTACTTTTAACTTATATTTCAGCATTCCATGAACAACATATCTGTACATATTGTAAAAATTTAAGGCATGTTTTTTTGATGTTTACTGTTTCAAATTATTTTGTTTACTTTTTTTAATCGTTATTATTTAACAATTTTTCTTTGTATCCTGGTGCTGCCCGTATCGTCTAAACGAGACTTTGGAAAATTTTTTGGTCGCCGGATTTGCGTCGAGCAGGTCAAAATCTATAGGAGTGTGCTATTTTTATTACCGGCCTTTCTTATTTACTAATTTTTATCGTTATTATTTAACAATTTTTCTTTGTATCATGGTCCTGCCCGTATCGTCTAAACGAGACTTCGGAAAATTTTTTGGGCGCCGGATTTGCGTCGAGCAGGTCAAAATCTACCGACCTTTTTTTATTGTTTACTAGTGTAATTATTATATTATACAAGGTGTCTCTGAACTTATTGGCATAAATTTAGGAAAAGATTGAGCAAGTCAAAATAAGGCGAAAACCCAAATAAATATTTTTTTATTACTTATGTTTCCAAGATACAAGGTGATAAAGTGTTACTTATCATATCAGTTTTTTTAATGTAACCTCTACTATGGTAGTCTTGGAAAGGTGATATTTTGCGAACAGTCACTTACTACCAAAACACATATTCACACATAATTATAATTGTTTGAGTGAACACAGTGTCGTAGAAACGGGGGTTGCTTTAAGCTTATTATCCCATACAAACTTTGAGGTTAGGTTTTTATAACATTTGATCCAATTTTTAGATTACACAGTTTGGCTAACATTAAAAAGGTGTACCTCTCAAACTTCGATAAAATAAACCGTTTCCGAGATATTCGAGATTACAATAATTGTTACATCGCATTATTTAATAGGATTAAAAGGTATATGATAACTAATTTTATTTTTTAATTGAAAAAACTAAAAAGAGCATGCCATGAACCTCGGGACTTTTTTCCCTGACCGTCACATTAAAAAAATTGTAGTTTTTTCCATTAAATTTTTTTTATCATATATCTTCGAAGATCTAGTCCATTAATGCGATAACAATTATTATAATCTCGGAAACGGTTTAATTTATCGAAGTTTGAGAGGTACACCTTTTTAATAGTAGCCGAACTGAGTAATCGAAAAATTGCATCAAATGGTATAAAAACCTAACCTCAAAGTTTGTATGGAACAATAAGCTTAAGCAACCCCTGTTTCTACGACACTGTGTTCACTCGAACAATTGTAATTATGTGTGAATATGTGTTTTGGTAGTAAGTGACTGTTCGCAAAATATCACCTTTCCAAGTCTACCACAGTAGAAGTTATATTAAAAAAGCTGATATGATAAGTAACACTTTATCACCCTGTATCTTTTAAACATACGTATTTAGGAAAAATATTTATTTAGATTTTCATCTTATTTTGACTTGCTTAATCTGCTCCTAAATTTATGCCACTGAGTTTAGGGACACCTTGTATATATAATATTATTATATATATATTATTATCATAATATATAATCTTCCAAACATTTTTTTTAAATAGCTACATTGTAGCCGTTGTGGAGATATTCACTTAAATGTATTTTTTTATAAATTATTACGCAACAGTAAGCTTAGTCTCTGTGTATCGCCACTTGTGTTGAGGTTTCTTGGACATTTTTCTCTTTCAATGGCTTCACGGATGGTACGTTTGGTTCTGTATTCGATGCTAGCCAAGACCCTTGTTTTTTCAAAGTTAGTTTCCCAAAATCTCCAGCAATAGCCAACTTATTCATGGAAGACATAGAAGTACGAGCAATCGAAACGGCAACACTAAAATCAAAGTTATGGCTACGGTACGTAGAAGACATATTTATCATCTGGACCCACGGAGATGCGGAACTGAAGAAATTCCTGGACCATCCCAACGGAATTCCCAAAAAGGTTAAGTTCACAATGAAAACCGAGAAAGAACACCTGGATGTCTTCATAATCAAGAAACGGCTACATACGCGATTTTAATTTTTCTTGCAAAGTAAAGCTAATAATATCACTATTTAAAAAAAATATTTGGAAGATTATATATTTTTTAAGTTAAAAACGACAAATGTACCAACATGAACGGTATTATTGTTTTTGGTGACTGTCAATATTAAACGTGGTTTCACATTGATTTTCATCTCTATTATGGTAGATTAAAATATGGTAAAATTAAGATAGGAAAATTTCGTAATACTTTTTAGGATTTTAAAAATTTGTACACGAGCAAAGATAAACTATTCAATCAAAGACACAAGCGACTAATTTTCTATTTAGCTACTAAATAAATCCTAAAATAGTAGTTAGTTGTATCTCAGACTGCAACATCAGAGCACACTAGGGTCAAATCTCATTTCCCAACTCTCTTTTAAAATTGTACTTTATATTTTTAATATTATTTTCAGATAAACGGTATAGACTTGTCCAACGAAGTGGACATTTCTCCAGATGACTCTCCTCAGGCCGAAGAGCATCCTTACAGATCCCTGAGCAGTTCCGTAGTCACACTTCGTCGTTTCGGGACGGTTTCAAGCTTGGAACGAGTGGGTTCCGAGGAACAAGAAGATGAGGATGAAAGCCAGGTTTCTTCTGAAGCGGATTGCGATAATCCAGGAGGCATCGACAACGAAGCTTTCAATGCTGGTACTGGTATGAGCTGGACAGAAAAAGCGGGATCTTTTGTAGCAGAGAAGATGGCGTTTTTTGAAAGATTTGGCGAGGATTACAGGGCCGGAGGAAGGTTTTTTGAAAGGTGAATTACATAGGGTACAACATTTAAACAACATTCTATTTTTAAAATCTGAATACACTTTTTGAATGTTTTTGATGCGCTATATTCGAATCTAACCTTTTTAAAAAGTTTTTACCAAAATGTGTAAAAAAACGGTAAGTAATTTAAAGTTTTCCAATATATTTTCAAACAAATTTAAAAAGGATTTTTAAGGGGAGCAAAGGGTTCTGTGGGGAGAAACTGCATTTTTCCACTGTTGGTTAGAATTCGGTCGGATTCAGTTCAGCTTTGGGTTTTATTAAGTGGGTACCTAATTTTACAAAAAGTAATAATCTTTAAAAAAGTGGTAGTCCCCTAAAGGAAAACATAATTAAAATAGAACAAAAATATAAAATATGAAAATTTTAAGAAGTAAATATTAATATAATATAACAACCAATTTTTTCTACTCCCACCTTTAAAACGCCCTTTATCGTACATGTTTCCATGACACTAAGTGACCTTTTAAATACACATTGACAAGTTGTGGCTTTACGGCGCTTTAGTCACGGGCTGAAGTTAGCAACAGGTTTTTAGTCACGGGCTGAAGTTAGTTTTAAGTTAGTTGGCAGTTGTCAAATGTCATACAATAATAATAATAATAATTTTATTCATCAGTAAAACAAATTTACAAAATAAATTTTGCCTATATGACTAGTCACACAAAAATAAGTAAAAATAATGACACTTAATATTAAATACTATAACATATACAAGAATAAAATTTAATGATAAAATTAAAAAGAATCCTTAAAAAATTCTTCAACAGAATAGTACATTTTATTTTAAAAAATAGTGTGTAATTTTGTCTTTAAAATATTAATATTTTTACAAGATAAAATAACATTTGACACATGATTATAACATTTTATTCCCTGATAAGCAAAGGCTTGAGAGACTGACAATCTGGAATAAGGCAAATATAGGTTTTTATTACCTCTTGTACCATAACTATGCATATCCTTTGTTTGTATAAATAAACCTTTATTTTCTTCAATGTATATAATTAAATTGTAAATAAATAAACAGGTTAGTGTTAAAAATGAATATTTTTTAAATAACGGTTTACACGAATATGATGGACTTTTACTATCTAGACATCTGATAAGTTTTTTTTGTAATAAAAATACTCTTTCAAAGTAAGCTGAAACACCCCAAAAAATAATACCATATGACAATACAGATTGAATTACGCCAAAATACATTAATCTCAATACAGGAAAGGACACTGTGTCTCTAAGAGACCTTATTAAAAAACATAAGGAGCTTAATCTCTTACATAAAGAATTTATATGTGGTTCCCAAGTCAATTTTGGGTCCAATGTTATCCCCAAGAATTTTACTGAATCGCAGGCTGGAATTGATGAACTATTAATGTTTATGTATAGGCTAGAATCAAGCCTGGCATTTTTTGGAAAAAAGTATAAAGTTTGTTTTATTAACATTTAAAAGTAATCCATTTTGTTGACACCATTTACTAAACTGATTTGACACCAAGGAAGAGTTTGTGGAAAGATTTTTCACTTCTTTATCCCTAAGCAAAACATTTGTATCATCAGCATACAATACAAATTTAGCATGTTCATTAAATAAGACAGATATGTCATTAATAAACATAACAAAAAACAAAGGCCCCAGAATTGACCCCTGTGGAACCCCAAGTAAGACTTTTTCACACCTTGATTGTGCATTTAAAAAAAAAAATCTGAGTTCTGTCGGATAAATAAGAGGAGACCCACTTAAGCGGTGGACCCCGTACACCTACGGATTCAAGTTTTTTGAGCAAAAATTTATGATTAACCATATCAAATGCTCGACTTAGGTCAAAAAAATAAGCCCACCATTTGCTGCTTATTATTGAGACCTTCATATATAAAATTAAGGGCATCAGCTATAGCGGTATGTGTGGATTTTCCTTGTCGAAAGCCATTTTGATTTTCAATAACAAGGTAATTATTTTCTAGGAAATCTCGCAGTCTTTTATAATATAAATAATCTAAAACCTTGCCAAATTGACTTGATGGGCAAATTGATCTATAATTGGTTGGATCATTTTTGCAACCCTTCCCCTTATACACCGGAATACACTTAGACTTCTTTAATGAGCTGGGGTACACTCCATCAAAAAAGGACAAGTTTACAAGGTGCGCCAGAGGAATAGCTACAATTTCTCCCACCAAGTTTAAGATTTTACCGTCGATATTGCCAAATCCAGCTGCATGTTTCTTAGTAGTTTTTTTAATTGTTTCAATAATTTCAAAATGAGTTACAGGATGAAGAAAAAAACTTTTCCGACCATGTACCAGATTAATTTTGTCAAATTCAGGTACTAAAGTATTGTTTATATTATTAATAAAATGATTGTTAAAAATTTCACACATATCTTTTGGATCATTAAAGGAAGTATTATTTACTATTATTTCAGATATAGGATGCCTTATGGCTTTAGACTTATTAATTATCTTCCAACTTTCCTTTGAGATGTTAGTAGCATTTTGAATTCTAGAATTATTTATCGTTTTTTTGGCATTAATTATAGAGTTTTCATAAATTCCCTTAAATTATAATTTATTATATAAATATATAAATAATTATTTATATCGTTTCGTATATGTCGGGTTATTAAGAGTCCTAGAAAGGGTTTTCATTTCGCATAATTGTTTATGCATTTGCTTTAGATTTCTAGTAAACCATTCTTTATTTTTTATTGACAAAGTTTTTTTACACAATGGAAATGGAAGTATTATTTACTATTATTTCAGATATAGGATGCCTTATGGCTTTAGACTTATTAATTATCTTCCAACTTTCCTTTGAGATGTTAGTAGCATTTTGAATTCTAGAATTATTTATCGTTTTTTTGGCATTAATTATAGAGTTTTCATAAATTCCCTTAAATTATAATTTATTATATAAATATATAAATAATTATTTATATCGTTTCGTATATGTCGGGTTATTAAGAGTCCTAGAAAGGGTTTTCATTTCGCATAATTGTTTATGCATTTGCTTTAGATTTCTAGTAAACCATTCTTTATTTTTTATTGACAAAGTTTTTTTACACAATGGAAATGCACAGTTATAATAAAAAAGAAACCTATTAAGAAAAAATTCAAATTTAGCAATATCGTTAAAATAAAGTGCCTTTCTTGTAAAATAATACTAAATGTGAAAATTATTTTATTATCTCAATACAAAAATACAAAAATATTAAATAGTTTCTCAACGCCAATATTTGAAAAGTTTATATGAACATTATACTGACCTTTTAATTTCGCCGGCAGTAAACTATAACTTAAATTCGGGCACGGACTCTACTGTAAAGTCCTCATAAAACATTTCCTTTACTTTCGTTGTGAAAAACTGTCAATTTTTAAGATACATTTCGATTTATAACCTTTATAATTGTGTTTATAAAATGTAAAAATGTGACATTTGACAGTTTTCCCTGTTGTTTCATAGATGGCGCTCTATACAAATTTTTGATTTAAATCATTTTATAAACTTTTCTATACTCTCTAAAAATGAAACAGTGGATTTTCACTGATTGACAGTGCATATTAACTATTTGCCGCAGTGATAAGTATACCACTAGCAATTAGTGAATACTCACTTTTTCATGTAGCGATTTCTTTGCACTAATTTATTTAGTGGAAATTACACTGTACAAATTAGTGAAATAGGTTTAGTTCAAAAAAGTTAAAATTTCACTATTTTATGTCGAGAGTTCTGGAAAAGTAGTGATAATAAAAAACACTAATTTGGAGAAGTTAAAATTTCACTAATTTATATTGAAAAACACTAATTTTACAGTGACTATTTCCCTTGTCTTAATTTCCACCAATCACAAACGTGCAATTTTAAATTACAAATGGTTTCTAGGTGAAAAAACTGTGTGACAGCAGCTGTCAGCAGTTTATTCGAGTTTACCCGCGGCAAAACTTGACAGCTGTTGTCACCAAAAATTGCAATTTATATTTTTATTGTTAACTGTTACTCATGAAATAGTCTTGTCAAATACCATTCGGGCATCTAATTTTTCCTGTGAAAAAAATCGAAAAAACACAATGCTAAGTAATATTTTTTAACAAAATGCATTCGTGCAGGTGCAAAAATCCTCCTCTTCGACTCGGATTTTTGTTGCCACCAGCACTCATGCTTTTTGTTAAAATATTACTTAGCAACGTGTTTTTTCGATTCTTTTCGGAAAAATTAAATGCCCTTATGATATTACTTACGAATAATAACTCACTGACAGAAATAGTGAAAATTTCACTGTTTCACTTTTAGAGAGTACACTCATTAACTTAAGCACTCGCTCGCAAGCTCGCTCGTGCCTAAATTAAATTTGTGTATAAAATGGCGTTTATCAAACTTGATACATAATATACTATTTTCTACGACCACTATGTAAAAGTCACATTTCGTAAGGGCGCCGTTGCTTAGATTGCTATTTTCATTGGCAAGGCAAAACACGAATGTAAAATGACATTTCTGTGTGAAAAGTGACAGGTCTGTGTGAAAAGTGACAGGTCTGTCAAACACTTTTTAGGTTATTTTTTGTTGTATTTGAAAATAATAAAAAATAAAAGGGTCGTAGAAAAAACATTGTGTTTCACTTGTGAGAAAAGCTTTCCTCAAGCTCGTGTTAAAGCACACTCGGCCTAACAGCCTTGTGAGCAACTAAAACACTCGCATGAAAAAGTCGCTTTTCAACACTTGTAAAACAAATAACTATTTATTACTTATGGCAACGATAAAGTATATAAAGGTAGTTTACGAGTTTTATAATGGTCCTATAAGGTTACTTGGAACCTATATGTTTATTATATATATAGTTATTAGTTTATACAAGATGTCCCTAAAATGCGTGTACAAAATGATACCACATATTCCTTAGACCAAAATAACGCGATATAACTAAATTTACTTTTAAACATAATTTGATAATAACCAAGATACAGAATGTTAAAGAATAAAGA